AATTATAAATTACACAGTAAAGTGGCTTTTAGTACATTTGAAGGGTACAATCATTACCATGTAATTTCAGAACACTTCTTCACTCCAAAAAGAAACCCTGTAAATCTGTTAGCCAACATCTCGTTTTGCTCCCTCTTTGCCTCTACCTTTCCTTAGAATTCATGCACTATTTTAGTCTGTTGTTTGTTGCTAAGAACAGAGATACCTGAATCTGAATGATTTCTAGAGTAGAGGTTTACTTAGCTCATGGCTTTAGAGGGCTATGGCCTAGGGGCTGCATCCAGTGAAGGTTTTCTTTCTGATGGATAAAGTGGTATGTCCTCATATCACTCAGCAAGACAGAACAAGCATGTCTCCATGTTGATGTCTCTTTCGAGTGTGACCTCATTCCCTTCTTAATTCGGTCGTAGTGGCCCCACCCTGATGATCTTATCTTATCCAAATCACCTCCTCGAAGTCCCACCTCTTATTTTTTTTAAGAATTTATTTTATTTATTTATATTCCCCCTCCAGGAGAGAGAGAAACAGAGAGAAAGTGAGAAAGCAAGCTGCCAGGTCTGGAACTCAAATTGTATTTAGCCATGTGAGAAGTCCAGTGCCTCAACCACCACACCACCTGCTGGCCTCAGTGACACCTCTTAATACCACAGTCAGATTATGTTTCTGCTCTGTTAATACCTTTACAGTAACCAAATTCCAGTGCATGCATTTTTAGGGGACACATTCAAACCATAGCTTTGCTCTACTGTCTCATTTTGGGCATTGCTTCTGAGAAGTCCAATGTTACCACAATCCATATTCTTTGTTTGAGACCTGTTTTATTTTCTCTGAAGGCTTTTTTTTTTTTGAGAGGTTTTTAGTTATAGGGCATGTGAGTATGCCAGAAAGACAGAGAGAGACATTGAGACGGAAAGCGAGAAATCACCCCCTAGGGGGCTGGCCACTCTGCAATCCCTTCTCCTCCATTCTCCTCTTGGGATCTTGGGCATGCACGCACACGTGCCTGGCATGAGTTTAAGCCACCGGATCCGAGACTCAAACCACGGTCGACTACATGGGAGTCCAGCGACATAGCCATTATGCTAACTGCTGGTCCCCTGAAGACTCTTTTTAAAAATTATTTTATTTTATTTTTATTTTTTTAGTTTGAGCAGAGACAGAGAAAAAAGAGAGAGGGAAAGTGAAACGGCAAGCCACCACGTCCAGGACTCGAACCATGGTCAGCCATATGGTTTTTTGTGCCATAGAACATGTGAACAGAGACAGAAGGAAAGTGAGAAATCACTTCTAGAGGGAATGGTCACACCACAATCCCTTCTCCATTCTCCTCTCAGGATTCTGGGCACACATGCACACATGACCAGCGTGATTTTCAAGCTACAAGATCCAAAACTTGAACCATGTCTGGCCATATGGGAATTGAGCACCTTAACCTCCACACACTACCTGTCTGCCCCCTCTGAAGGATTTTACAATCGTTTTTTTTGTTCTCATTATCCTGACATTTCATAATGATATTGCTTGGTGCCATTCCTTTTATTGCCATTGTCCTGAGCATTCAGTGTGACCTCTCAATTTGGAGATCAGTGTCTTTCAAGTTTGAAATTTCCTGTAAATTTGCTTTCGATTGATATAATTTTTTTTTTTATTCTATTGAACTTACTACAGGTTGTATACTAGATCTCCACCCAGTGCTCAGATTTAAATTTTGTTTCCCATTTCTCATCTGTCTTTAACTTCTCTTACTCTACTTTATGGGCAATATCCTCAATTTTTTAAAAATTCAGGTCAGTATTTATTTATTTTGATTTTAACCAGAGGGCACGTGCACTCACCATGGAGGGGAGAGACAGAGAAATACAGAGAGAGGGAAAGTAAGAAATCACTCCCCATGGGCATGGCCATACTGTAATCCCTTCTCCTCCGTTCTCCTCTTGGGATTTTAGGCATGTACACACATATGGGCCTGGCTCAGTTTTCAAGCTGCCAGGTCCAGGACTCGAACTGCAGTTGGCCATCTGGGGTTCCAGCACCTTAACCATCATGCCACCTGCTAGCCCCACAATGTCATCAACTTTATTTTTTGACATTTATGCTGAATTTTTATCTCTGAATCACATATTTTTAATTTCCAGAGGCCTTTCTTGGTTATAGAATCTTTTAAACTTCAATAAAAACTTGCATCTTAAATGGAAAAAAGAAAAATGGAAAGAGAAAGAGAGACAAAGCACCCCTACCCCCCATAAGGACTGGTCACACACAATCCTTCTTCCTCCATGCTTCCTTCCTGTTAGGATTCTGGGCATGCATGCAGACACACTCAGAATGCCACTGGGCCAGGATCTGAACCATGGTCAGCCATGTGGGATCTGGTCCCCTTAACCACTTGGCTATAAGGTTGGCCCTGAATGACATTTTAAATTTTCCAAGGCCCTTTCTTGACTGTCAGTGCTTCTTCTCCTTTCAGTGTAGCCGTGGCTGGTAGAAGAGTAGCTTCTGCAAGTGGAAGGGTCCACCCTTCTGCTATAAAAGGAAAGAGGGAGGATGTCTGTGGGTGGGAAGGGACATGTAGCTGCAGTGGCGGGAGGGTGGCATTCCTTCAGATGACTTCTACTTTCTCTGTGGCACACATGGTGAAGATGAGTATTGAGCAATGGAAAGGGTAATGGGATGAGGTTTGAGGAGCATGTAAAGGAAAGTCAAAGCTAAACTCCTCGAAGCCCCCAGCATCTCCTGGATAGCCCTGAGGGTTCAGTTCACAGTGAAACTGGAGACCATCAGTCTCCCAGGCACGGATCTGCTCAGTTGGGTAAGTTCCTGGTCTAGGCAAGGAGAAGGTGGTTCTTGAACAGCTCCATGGTTGGTGTTCCAGGCAAGTGGTCCAGAAAAACAGCAGGCAGA